TCAATTTTTGAGGGGAAATTTAAAGATAATCTATATAGAGAAGGGTAGAAATAAACCTATCTCTGCCCTCACACATTGCCCCCACCATAGAATTATTTTGAGGCAAATCCTGGAGACTATATGATTTTACTTGTAAATTTAACAATTATGCTTTAGAAAAATATATAGTCATATATATATATTTTCAATATATCAAGAATTCAGTGTTCAGATTTCCCAGTCTTGTAATTTTTAGATTAGTTTTTGAATCAGGATTTTGAAATAAGGGTTTATATTACAGTTAATTGATTTGGTCTCTTAAATCTCTAAATCTGTTGGAGTGCTCTAGCATTCTCATGTTCTTTCTCTCTCTCTCTGTCTCTCATACACACACACATATACACACACTCTCTCTCTCTCATACACAATTTGTTGAAGAAATTTATCCTACAGAGTTTTCCATAGTCTGGATTTTGTTACCTGCATCTTTGAGTTGTCTTTTTCCTTTTCCCTTCTGTTTTTGGCTAAGATTTCGGTTGGTTGGTTGGTTGGTTGGTTAGTAACAATATGTCTTAGGAAATACTGTGTACTTTGTTGGGAGGCATTTAAAGATTTTTTTTTTTTTGAGAGAGAGAGAGAGAGGGAGCGAGAGTCTGAAGCAGACTCTGCACTGAGTGTGGAGCCTGACATGGGGCTGATCTCACAACCACAAGATCATGACCTGAGCAGATACCGAGAGTCTGATGCTTAACCAGCAGAACCAGCCAGACACCCCATATTGGGAAACATTTAATATGTCTGAGTCTTCTAGTCATATTAACATTCACAGATGAGCATTGTTTAGATCCTTTATTTCATTAGGGATTGCAAACTGGTGATATTTTAATATTCTTCATTTATTAGCTGGGAAATTAATACTTTGTCACCTATTGGGTTGAGGTACAATTCTTAGAGGAAACAGAGAATAAAGACTTTAAATAGTTACCAAAATAATGAGGTGGTTCCCTTAGCATCCTTCAAAAGAGACAAGTGAGTTCATTTTAAATATCATTCTTAATTAATAGATTTAAAGACTTCATAGTCTTCAAATTCATGTAGACTTCATGCATCAATCCATTATCATTGTTATTGATGTTCAGATGGTCCCATCTTTGGCTACTGAAAGCCTCTTCATTTTGACTTTTGAAACCTTTTGATACAACCCTAGTAATCTTTGATTTCTGATGGGAGAATATGTTCTGGGATTATCTTGTACATTTCCTCACCCAGGCTGAAATCAGCCATCTCTGTAAAGAGCTCTGATACCTTTTAGCAGTAAAGAGTATTTAGAAACCATAATCTGGGTACATAGTAGACTTTTTAAAGATCATATAGTCAAAAGGTAAGGTGAGAAATGGTTTGTAAATCTAGTTCTGATTTAGTAATTTCCCAGTATCACAGAAACCAACAGGTTGAAGTACAGTTTTAATTAAAAATAATGAACAACCAACCTAAAAGAAACTTTCCTTTAATTTCAGAGTTAACTGTATTTTGTCATAAAATTGACTTCTTAGATTTATTGATTTCACTTGGCCTTCTCTGAGTACCCACCATCTCATGCAGAGGAAAGTTGCAGTTCCGTATATGGTGACTGACAAAAGAGGTCCAGCCAAGGATTAAAATTTCACAGTGAATAGTCTCAAATCTATCCACAAAGCAATGAAAGTTGACTGTAAAACCTTCCAAATAAACTAAATGGTTTGGGCAGAAAACTCTGTCTTTGGATAGAAAACTGATTTCAGAAAATCAGTGTCCTTATCTATAAAGAGTAGGATTAGGATCACCTGTGGGATCTAACTTTGTCAACCTGTAACTGTCATTATCTGAGTTTTCTCCTATCTCATTCATTTATTCTCCAAATATATTTCAAATACAATGAGTGACAGACAATATTTTAGGCGGTAGAAAGAGTGGGAGCAAAAATACCTAAGCTGCTTGCTTTCATATCCTAAAAGGCACCTTGTGTTTTCTAATCCATTCCTCCTTTGAGAAGTGCAGTTTTAAGCACTCTTATTGGTACTTTGTCCACACGAAAAACAACTTGCATAGACTTTCTGACATTATCAGAAACTTAATTTGTTTAATGACTTTTTCTTTGACATGCAGTTTTTTGGTTGAAAAAATTCCCATTAGTTAAATTATTTTGGTTGATAAAATATAGTAAGTTAATTCAAATGATCTATTTTGTATTTCATTTGCACCTTTTAAAAGCTTCTCATGTTTTAAAAATTTAGTGGTATTTATGGTTCTCAGAGTTAATGGAGTGTATAATGTATAGTATTTTTATATTATTGCATTATATTCTCTTAGAAGGATATAAATGATCCAGTTCATCAGATTTTCTACATCGCTATTTTCATTTGAAATGATATCTTGGTATTATTAAAAATATACACATTCATCTATAAAAATCACTTTCCTTATTTAAAAGTTAAATTCATTTTAATCCTATATACAAAAGGTAGTCAGAAATTTGTATTAAGATAGACTAGGATAGAAGGAAGCACAATTTCAACAACAAGAATACTTCATATTTCATTGTTTTTTTTTTAAATACTAATACCAATAGAGTGTTCTCTTGCCCTCCTCCCCCACTGAGTCAACCTTCAATAAATCTTATTGAGAGCATATTAAAGATTCTTCCTAGAGCTTAAGTCATTCTCTGCTGGTATAATAAGCTTTCTATTTAAAGAGATGGATTATATGCATTTTCATGCCATTTGGGACACCATTTTGTTTTTATATTGTATAAATAATTACTTAAAAGAGTTCATTCACAAAGTTTATTACCATGGCACAGGATTGTAAAAAGACCCTGTTCTTTCAAATTACAGTGTTGACCATAAGTCCATTATAACCCTCTGAAGACACTCACATTCCCACATTTTAAAATTGACAGGTCAGGCTGTCTCTAAGATGGTTACTAAATCCTCACCTTTTGTGATACTCCAGACTTTCAAAGTTATGTTGCCACTTCATGCAGCATACATTTTTTTTCTCATGTGATTCTTGAATAAGAATTCCTTCCTTCAGGAAAGAACTTCTGTAGTACACAGTAGCCCCTTCCTATCTGTAGGGCGTATGTTCCAAGACCCCAGTGGATGCTTGATACTGTGGATAGAACCGAACCCTGTCTATACTGTTTTTTCCTATACATACAGAGCTCTGATAAAGTTTAACTTATCCATTAGGCATAGTAAGAGATTAACAACAGTAACTAAGAGTAGAATAGAATAATGCTAACAATATACATAATAAAGGTTATGTGAATATAGTCTTTCAGTCTCTCAGAGTACCTTGTACTGTGCTCACCCTTCTTGTGATGATATGAGATGATAAAATGCCTGTGTGCTGAGATGAAGTGAGGGGATTGACACAGGCACTGTGATGTGGTGTTAGGCTACTACTGACCTTCGGACCGCATGTCAGGAGGAGGATCATCTGCTTCTCGACTGCAGTTGACTGGGGGCAACTGAAACTGCAGACAGCAACAAACTGAGGATGGGGGAGCTGGTGTATCAGGGATTCACCTCCCCGTATTTACCCGTTCTTTAGGGAATGTACAGTGTTTCTTGGTTAACTCTTTGCTACTCCTGTAATGTCCACATAGACATCATTGTATGTGTATGTTGGTTTTGGGATGTGACTATACATAGAATCTCTCTTCACTCAAGACTGCAAGAAGTGAGGAATTTCTTCTCACTCCTAATCAGCTTTTGTAGCTGCCAGCTAAATATTCTTCTACATACACTTCTGTAGGTTTAAACATATGAGTCTAGAACTGTTAACTACCTGGTACAGGAGCCGTTAGCCACCAGTGGCTGTTAACCACCTAAAATGTGCCTGGTCCAAATATGATGTGCTGTGTCAGAGACAGACTAGATTTTGGAGACTTAGTATGAAAAAGAATGTAAAATATCTCAAAAATGTTTTTTGCTCACATGTTAGAATAATATTTTGGATGTGTTGGGTTACATAAAAACACAATTTTAAAATAATGTAATTAATAAATACAAAATGATTTTCACCAGTTTCATTTTACCTTCTTAACGCAGTTACTAGAAACTCTTAAAATTACCTATGTGGTTCACATATTTCTAATGGACAGCACTGCTCTAGAACATTATCAGTCATTATCCAAGCAGCCAAAATCCTTACTGTTGCATAAATAGATAGTTTTATTTCAGACTTCTTTCCCCAAAACTTGGAAACTGCATGTAGATGCTAGTTGTCATGTGTCGTGGTGGTACTTGAATGACTTGGGAACAAGACTTTTCTACATATAGACAGGAGAAGAACCACAACGTCATACCTAGTACCACAAAGAAAAAGTTTAAACTACCAACATGAAGGAAACCATTGCCTTTGTTGCTGATGGTTGCATTCAGCGTTTAAAAAAATAATTGGTACCATCAGGAAGGTTATAGTACTTCATGGATCTTTAGCTATGAGCTTTGTAAATGAATGTTACATATGAAATAAATGTTAATGGCGAAAACCTGCTTTGCTGCAGTAAACACTAAGTTATGGTTTTGCTGCTTTAAGTGATAACGCTGTGTATAATGCCTGAATATTAGAATAACAAACATACTTTACTGATTCTTTTATTACTGTTGGAAATGTAGTTAACATAATTCACATTACAGTTATGCTGTACTTGTTTTATTGCAAATTTTAAGATGTATATAAAAGACAGCAAACTCCTACTTAAACAGATCAAAACTGGTTATGTTTTAATCTCATGTAATTTAAGTTCTCTATGTAGCATACTTTGAAACATTACTCAGTATTTTTTATAAAAAGCAATTTTTTATAGGTTTGAGTCTGAATATTGAAAGTTCTCAAAATTACATATTTTAAGTGATCAGCAACGAGATTTATAATTGCATCTGGTGTGAGTATAGTAGCTAGGCACTAAAACATTTATTTGAATATTACAAAAATATTCTCTTGTAAAATACCAATTTTGTCCTAATTTTTAGGAAACCAGAATTCGGGCAATGGATAAGGATACCGAGAAAAAAATTCATAATTTCTCTGTCATCAACCCTGTTGCTGGACAGGCTGTAACTCATATCTTTGTAGCAGACAATAGAGAAGATCTTCAGAAATGGATGGAAGCCTTCTGGCAACATTTCTTTGATCTTAGTAAGTTGGTGTTTGGATTTATTAGTAATATATTCATGAAGCATGAAAGGATGCACAAAGCAATCTAAATTTTAAAATTATAATCCTTTGGTTTGTATCAAAATTTTTTTTATGCTCTTGAATAAAATGACAGTATATCATCAGTGCATTGATGCCTTTTTCTCTCAACCTTTTCCCAGTGCTGACTTACTGTAGCTTATTATACCTTTGAATACCTGTTATTTTTAAGTTTCTCTGTCCCTAAAACAATTAGGCCACATTTTTTTCAAAATATTGGGGTTTAACTGGTTAAGGTAGTGTGTTTGATCAAAGGGATAAGAAGCCATTTGAGTAGTAAAAAACTTCTGTAGTTTGGTGATGATCCTAAAATTTGAAATGTTCAGGAGACTCGTGTAACCTTCTGTTAACTCCAGATTCATTATATCATCTTGGACATCATCCAAAGATTTTTTTTTAAACCGTACATATGGTTTTTCAGTTTCAGTAATACAGCCTATGATTATAAAAACAATGTGATAGTAATATAATAGAGTTCTACTATGTAAAATATGTGAGGTTCTAATATTCTCAATTTAAGGAGGAATTTTATCAACAAGAAAATAATGAAGTCATATATTGAAAATGTAGATTATTGATAACAGCTATTTCTAGTCAAACTAAGCCTACTCTTAGATTCAACCAGTATTTTATGTCTTCAGAATGCTTTTTTATAAAGAATTAAGAAAGATAGGCATTTTCTAATGATAGAAAGTTGTTCCTGCAACTCCTAGAAGAAATTTTAGGACTTCTTAAGATCTGTTTTGGGAACTTTATAAAAGAATTAATACCTGCTGTCCTCAGATTAATTTTTATAAGCCTACTGTGGTCTGTGGCCTGGTTAAGTTATTATAGTGATGGTTGGAGTGGGGACAAAGAAGGGAACTAAATGTATTGATTACCTTCCACATACCATATGGCTTCCTTTATTTCTCACAACAGCCCAGCAAGCAGAAATGATTTCCCTCTCCTCTAAAGTTGAGAAAATTGAGGCCTGAAGAGTTTGCTGGTTTACTGCAGGAATCCAGAGGACTCCCTCTATAGACTTCTGGAATTCTTTAGGACTTGTTTTCCTTAAGTACTATTCCTAGGCACTGAATAGATGTTTAAATATTTGTTCCATGCTTATCAGCATGCAGTACTTTTTTTTTTTTTTTTATTTCAGCTGATCTTAGACATGTAACTTAAAAGACAAAAACTTCCTTTCCTTTGCTGATCACATCTGAAATTTTAACTGCTTTCTCAAATGCTCTGCTCTAGAGAGTCTTACAAAGACTATATTATTTTTAGGAGTGATTCTGCTATTTTACACTTTTTATGTGTATAAAAACAGGAATGAGGGGTGAAAGGAGGTAAAAATGCAGACTATTATGGTCTGGATATCAACTGCTAAATGGTCTCATGTTTTTATTCGCCAGATTAGGTAAAATAATTCATCATGCTAAAATGGGGAATTTGGAAGGATACAAATCTTGTGATATTACTGTCAAAATAAGAAAGTGATGACAACTAGGTTCTTACATCTGGCTACTTCTTTAGTATTTAATGATTTGTGGATAAAATCTGCCAATCTATGTGATCTTTAAAGTATAAATTCTATTAGACTTACACTTTAGAATTCATTGTATATGATGATATGAAGCAAAGACGGAAATGTTTATATCCTAAAGACTGACTTATAAGTGGCAAGTGGTAAGTGTAGCCTCTTGTAATCTTAGATGAAATCTGATGTGTAGAACAAAGTAGAGTATAGATATTTAGGGCAGAATAAACTAAGAGCAATTTAATGTTTAGGGTTAATTTCAATTACTTAACTCTGATTAAGAGTAGAAAATCAGGAGAATGAGAAAATTAAAAACCATGAGAAATCATTAATGGCACTAGGTCTGTTTGGCCTGCCGAAGGACAACCTGAAGAGTGGAGGCTGGAGGCAAGGGGGATGTCATAGATAATTTTTAATATTTGAGAGCTAACAAACATGTAAAAGAGTAATGACTCTTGTTTTGGATGATCAAAAAAATAGAGCTAGAATGGTGGGTCAAAGATAAATTTTTTCAAGTATTTAATAATATAAATATTGAGGTACATTAGCAGCTTAGGATAACAGATCATTTTGACTGGGAACGTTACAGCAAATATTATCGTGGTAAACATCTTTAGGATACAGATTTTATGTGAATACAACATAGCTGTTTAATATTTCATATTGGTTAGCATGTTGAATCAGGTCTAACTGTGCATACTAATTTAGTCACTGATAAAACAAATGTTCCCATTGTAAAATTCACCAGTGAACATACTGCACTTGTACCTCTGACTTCAGTAACGCATGGGATAGTATGGCTTTATAGTCCAGTCTTCAGCATGATTAGTATTCTGCTACCCATTTAACAAAGAAAAGCTTTCATCTATCAATAAAGAGAAAATGCTATACTTTATAATTTGCCTAAGATTTGATGGAGAAATGTTTGCTAGTTCAAAGTATTTCATTATTTTTCTATTAAATAAGACCTTATTTTTTTCTGCCCCCAAGAAGGAAAAGCTGGCTTTTATATATTTATCTAAAAAAGGAAGTGGAGGGGAGGAATAAGTTATCAGATCTCAGATCCTACTAGATTTAAATTCTGCAGAGCAACCTTTGAAGCCTCAAACTCAAGATTTCATTCCCTTCATGAGATGCTATGTGGGCTATTTTGAAATTTTTACCATATTCTATACTTAGCATTGTAATAAAACATACTAAAAGGTTTTTTATGTTTCTTAGCTATTTAAGGTGATGGATTTAAAATTTATGCATATTACCATATAACCATGGCTATATATTAGATTTAAAACAACAAAAATGAATAGATAATTTGACCAAACACGAAATGTCTTTTATTTTTAAACTATGGAAAATAACTAAATTGGATATTGAGTATGGAGACTGAGAATATAATAAAAGGAAGAAAAATATACATCATAAATCATTCCCAAAAGGCACATGTGTATCACATTTATTTTTCTACAGATGTAAGATAGAGTATAAGAACAGTGAAGCTCAATAACCTACTTTATAACATGAATATAGAGACACATAGTCTCTGGCACAGTTGTTATCCAGCACGCAGGCGCGCAATAAACATGGAATGGCTGAAGTTTATATCCACTCAGAAGAAATGAGCGTTTGAAGATGAAAATAGTAAAACATAATTAAAAGAAAAATTAATGTTGTTCATACTCCTAAATTTTAACTTAAAAATTGAAACAGCTTAAAGAGTATTTTTTATGTCAAATGACTAATGGCTTTATTTAAAGTGTCCTTTCTAAAATAAATTAGATCCAGTTAGAATTTTGACTGATGTGTCTTTATTATAATAGGCTCTTATATACCTTTTACTTGAATGAAGATGCAGCATTTTTCGAGTTATATGAATTTCAAAAAGCATAATCATTAGAAGAAATAATTGTTAAATAAACAATTCTTGTATCTTAATTAGAATTTTCAAAGTTAACACCATTTTTGAGAAGCACTGTATCCTTCTAGATAACTATTTCAGTTGATTTTTACCTTTCAACTGTCTTAAGAACTGGGTATTTTTATTTAATATTTAAAAGAAGAGAACTTTTTGCCATGCATAGAAATTTCAGTTACTAGACCATTTAGTGAAATAGTATAGTATAATAGCCTAGAGATCTTAGCTTTTTATATCTGTGCACAGAACTTTATTTTTCAAATAGATTACTCTAGTACTTAGACTTGGACTTCAAAATTACGGGTAGTACTAGGTTTTTGTGGTTTCCTTAAGGCAATGCTTTATAGATTCCCTCTTATTTTTCACAACAAAAAATATGTTGATATCTACTGAAAATGAAGTATATGTCTTCACATTTATGTTTTAAACTAGCCTGCCTTTTTCTGTCTTTCTTAGGCCAATGGAAGCATTGTTGTGAAGAACTTATGAAAATTGAGATTATGTCACCACGGAAACCACCTTTGTTCTTGACAAAAGAGGCGACCTCAGTCTACCATGATATGAGTAAGTGGGGTTTTTCTTTTCTAAGCTGCAGGGTAACAAAAACAACATTGTCCATACTCAAGCAGCTTATTCTATTGACATTAAAATGCTAAAATTTTCAAGGCACAGTCAAAATGAATGAAAAAGGACTATGATTATAGACTAAGGAACTCATGTTTTATAGATGAATTAATACAAAATTAATGAATACACATTTTTCATAGTTTGAATGCTTAAGATCAAACAAAAATGTTAAAGCTTCCAAATGAATAAGGCTGCACTGAAAATAAATATTAGCTGAGTAGCTGATGAAAATTCTGAAAATGTAAACTTGTAGATTCTAAAATATAATTATGTTCTCTAATTTTTTCTGTGTTTTATTAAATTTGTTTTAAAGTAATGTTGATAAATGAATATTAATAAATGGAAGCTTTCATCTCAGGTCAAAAAATTGGTTAAGTTTAATACTTTGGAAAATTTTAACTTTATAGACTCATTAATTAATATTCCATTTTCCCACACTTTGAAGGGTATTTATTTCTCTGTGGGGTTGCCTGAACGAACAGTGCTGTGAACACACACAGGTCAACAATAAATTATATCCTATTTTTGCCACCAATATATACTTTACACACACTTTAAAATGTTAGATTAAAAATGATACAACCAGTGATTCATTTAATGCCAGTGATTCATTTAACAGACATTTATCTCTGTTCTCTTATTTTTTCCCAAGGAAAAATTCATCCAGCATCCTAATCACCCAATTGGCATCAGGGCTTCACTCTATTTCCTTGGGTTTCTGGTTTTGGAATTTTTCCCTATTAACAGAGACTTTGCTAGTCTAAAGTAAAGGATGTTAATCCAGTTACACTTGTCCAAGTTTACATATCAGGCTCTTATAAAAAGGGGATCTCCTCTTACCTAGAAGTCAGAATAAATTTTAAATCTAAGAAAAGTTATTTAATAAATATTTAACCTACAGAATTGAAAAAGTTATGATGTGTCTACACTCCTTTGAAAACTGGCTTATACTCATTTATTTAGGAATGTATGTGTGTGTGTGTGCGTGTGTGCACGCGTGCGTGTGTCTGTGTATGAAGTGCACAGTGAATGATCTTTTTTTTTGGTTCTGTTGGTAGGGTTATTTTTAAGCTCAAACTAGTTGCTTATCCATTGTGTTTTCGATGACCATTATAGATACTGATTTAGAAAACAATAACTCAAAGTGTACACAGCTTTTGAATTTTTCCCCCATGTACTTTTTCTCAAAATTATTACAGGCATTGATTCACCTGTAAAACTTGAAAGTTTGACTGATACAATACAAAAAAAACTTGAAGAGACAAATGGACAGTTTCTTATTGGTCAGCATGAAAACTCCTCACCACCTCTTTGGGCCAGCCTCTTTGATGGTAATCATCAAGTGGTTATCCAGAAAAAGGTATTATCTCCTGCAAGTAACCAGCTACATGATGGGAAAGGGAAAAAAAGACGTGCTCCCCTTCCTCCTTCTGATAAAGCTCCATTCAGCTTAAAAACACAGAGTAACCCAGATCAATTGGTTAAGGACAACTGGGAAAAAACAAGTGTATCTTGGACCTCGCCTTTGGATACCAAATTATCAACCCTAATGCACCACTTACAGAAACCGATGGCTGCTCCTCGAAAACTCCTTCCTGCCAGGAAAAATAATTTAAATGATGATAGTGAACACATAGACACTAAAACCAATTTTGAAGCCAAGCCAGTGCCAGCTCCAAGGCAGAAATCTATCAAAGACATTTTGGACCCTAGATCATGGTTGCAGGCACAAGTATAGAAAACTCTTAATGTATAAAGCATTTAACAAAACCCATACTGTTAGGCTTAATTCAGAAGCACTAGAGATATAGTAATATGTAATTATGTTGGTAAATATGATAGTGACTTACATCAATAATTAATAAGCTATGAGGCCTAAAAAATGCTTTATAATGAAGAATTGGATTTCTCTTTTACTTCTGATCTTTGGAATATAAGTGATTTCCCTGGTAGAGTGCAAGAGGCAGTTTCAGACAATATCCTAATTGTTTGAAGGGTTAATTTATTCCTAAATTAGTGCCAGCAGTGAGCAAGCACTAGGCAGAAGAAGGCATTAAAATTTCTTTGGGGAGAGACTGTCTAGTAATTTAAAATGTGTTAAATATGAGCCATATTCTCATTGTGAGAGTTTTAATACTAATGGAATGTTTCAAAAGTTTTATTCAAACCACAAATTATAGAATCCACCCAAGAAAATTTCTTCTTAGCATTCTGGAATTCTCATCTAATGGTTCACTGACTCTCATCTATTGTTTAACTCACTAGTTAACTCACTGACCTTTCAAATTCCTGGGATAAATTTTGGAATATTAAATTCTTCATCTTTAAAGGGAATTCATAATGTGTTATTCAAAGTTGTTTCCTTGATGAGCCCTGAAATCCTGTTGACATTAACTCTCATAAGTGAAGCATAACATTTATTAGTTTAGAGAAAAGGTAAATGAAATGTTCTCTATTTCCACTTTTCTATGCATGGTGCTAATTTCCATTATGACATTGGAATTTGGAGGAGTAGCTGATTAACACCTTAAAATTCATTTAATACTTATTTAAAAAGCAGATGGCTGATTCAAAAATATCAGAAAAGTTGGCCATGATAATAATTTTCAGAATTAATCCTTTTAAAACATTTTAATTAAATTTCCTTTTTCTAGTAAGGGTTGATGTCTGCTATTGATATTATTCATTAAAAGTCATATTCTTACAACAATGACATTGGAATCATTTCCATAGGAGGTAATTTCCATAGCAACTAATCATTGTGACCTAAACAGGATTATGAAATCAAGTGAGGAATAAATAGCGAGAGGATGAATACCTTAAAGGAACAAAAAAATCCTTTTTTTAAATAATAATGCTTCTTGTAAACAAGAGCTGAACAGTTTTAAAAATCAAATCAGAATTTCCAAATAAAACAGTTTCCATAAGGTGTCAGCAACAGCTCAAAAAATCTGAAATCACACTGAACCCTAAATGTCATTGCAAGAAATAAAAATATAAGAATTAAATTACTGCCCTGTGTATAATCTCTAGAGATCTTTTTAAAGCTCATGAGAACTCTATTTGGTTCAGAACTACATTATTACAAAGTAAAATGAACACTTGACAAAAAGTAACATTAATTTAAACGGAGCCTTTCATTATTTTTAGATAGCAGTCTTTCTTCATTTATACAGAATGATGTAACTGCCAGGTTACTTTTGTGTTTGCCGGGGACTCCTCGTAAGAATTGCAACTCGGGGGAGTAATGATACAAAAGGTCTCTTGTGACCGTCGACACCATGATAGACATAGTATTTGATGAGAAGGAAGCCCCACGTGCCTGCCTTTAGAGGACAGTAGAGACAATCACATGCACGAAAACCTACAAAGGTACGATTAATTTGTTTTTTTCTAACGAGAAGACGCTCATAAATTCTGTTTTGGTTGCCAGTTCAGTAAATGACAATATTAAAATCTACAGGCTATTATTGTTTGAATTTTTGTTTATTTTTTAAACCTCAGCTGCTGTTTTTGACAGCATTTGTGACTGTCATTGCCACTAAATTATTGAGTTAGAAGATGCTGCAGGCAAAATTGTTTCTGAAACTGGCATCTAAGCATTTTTTTTTTTTTAGTCGAAGCCTTCCTTATAACAACCAGTGTTAAAACTTCCAAATTATATTCTTGTCATTTCCTCATGCATATTATATCAAGAAGGATTTAAGGTGTACTGGAAATAGAATTTATTCATAGAGAAGCTACCTAGCAGTTGTGCCCTCAGTGGGACACTGAAACAAAGCTGAGGCCCTTCCTCCTAGAAATATTTATGTGAAGCCTGACCAAGGACCACGGTTATTCAGGCTATTTCTGGGGCCCACCTTCCTGTATGCTACAGAGCCTTTGGGAGCAGGCTGAAGGCTTCAGCTTCACTTCCTTTAACGTGGTGTTCATTAAATGTTAGTTCACTTCCCCCGAAAGGTTTAATACAAAGTCGGGGCTCCCTCCCTTCCTTTTTTCCTTCTTACTCCCTTCCTTCCTTCCTTCCACAGTTAAAAAAAATCTAAAAATACTTAGTTAAACACTTTGTCAAGGAGTTCGTCAAAGAAGTATTTGTTTTCTCATTTCCTAAACCGGAAGTTTATGACAGATAAAAATATGTCATGTAATAAAAGACATTTCAGCTTTTTATGAGCTGCCTTCTCACATTCCTGTTTGTCCTTTTAATTTGTTTCTTGATATATGAAGACTATAAACTTGAAAACAAAGAGTTAGCTGTCAGAGCTTGATAAGAATATTATAATTAGAGAAACAGAAAGAATAGTTATTTTATGATATTATGATAATTCTGATGATCTGAATATAATGTCTTAGAAAATTACATTTACATTTCAAGCTCTGGGACATAAATTACAATAGCATTAAGATAGTATTATTTTTACTTGCTACAAAGTGGTGAGCTTTTTATTTAAACATGTTGCCAAGGACAAAGAAGGCATTTTGTTATTATAAACACACACCTCCTAAGGTAAAGAGTCTTTCAGAATATCAGGCGTGCCAACTCTTGGTGAGTTTGGTTAAATCCTCCTTAACTGTCTGCAGTGCCCCCTGACTTCTTTAAATGGATGTGCATGTATGTGGAAAACTGATTTCATTTATTATAAGTGCTTTATCTTTACCCTTTAAGATCTTACTAAGTAAATTTTTCTGGTCCTGTTTATTAAAAATGGAAGCTGCCTTGCATTAGAGATGATTCATATGAGGTAGGTTAAGCAGTCAAGTATTTCCTTAGGCTTGTGTTCAGCACCTTAGTCACCTACTGAGAAGTTAATTAATTCAGTCCAAAATGAAATTATAGGGCAGTTTGGCGCAATTTATGTTAAATGCCGTTTGAATGTAATCACCTGTGTTACCATGAATGAGGAACAACAGAGTCAGAACGCTGTACCAGGAACAGAAAGAGCAGTGCTTTGGCAGGGAAGTATCTCTCCCTGTGGTCAGAATTTATCAAAGTCCTTGTCTTCTTAAAGAGTGAATTATTGAATAGTAATTAAATTTTAACTGATGACCATTTATACAGTGTTCTTTTAGTCTTAAACTACAAAGTAGACAGAGTTGACTTTGTGCCCTTAAATTTCAAAGGCATCACTATTTTCAAATGTTTACATGTGTAATGTAACTGCTTCACTAATAATAGTTCTATGAAAAAATGGTTTATTTTGGATCATGCGTATTTTTAGTTAGCACTAAAAAGGTGTCATTACCTTTGAATTTTTAAAAGACAAGATTTAATTTAAAGATATGCTAGAAGGTGTTATTTTTTTTTAACATGGCATGTATGATTGACATTGTTTCTAATTTTTATTTTTTAATTAAATGTAGGTCAAGCATCATCTAGATTAAAACATCCATGGGACGCCTGGGTGGTTCAGGTGGTTAAGTATACAACTCCTGATTTTGGCTCAGGTCATGATTGCAAATGTCCTGAGATAGAGCCCTGTGTCAGACTCCATGCTGGGCAGGGTGTCTGCTTGGGATTCTCCCTCTCCCTTTGCCCCTCCCCTTGACTCTGCTGGCACTCTCTAAAAAAAAAAAAGAAGTATCCTATTATGTGTATGTGTTTTTTTTAAAGTACCAAAGATTGGTAAGGAAGCCAATGTCATGTGATTAAAATTTCTATACATTACAGGAGTTGGTTCATGAAGACATTTGCTGCCTTTTTCTTTAGGTACCCCCTTCTGTGCTAGACTGATAGAAGTAAACTGCTGTGAAATTAGCTCAATCAGAAAGACATACCAAACCTGGTGTTAGTTATTATAAGACTAATATTTGATAACCTTGCTATAACTAATAATCATCAGAATGTTTACATATAATCTTTCTTAGAGTATACTCTTTTAAAAATTCACTGTATAACCTTAGTTTTATATTATTGATGCAGAATTCGCCCAGAGCTTAAGTCATTCTGATAATAAATTAGGAACCTAGGATACTCAGTTGCTGTTAGCCACAAGGAGACTCCTCATTCTAATGTACCTCCCTTAGTGCTTAATTTATTCCCATGGAGCTCTTCAGGGGAGAGGGAGAGAAATGAACAATCCTGGCTCAATTATATTATTTCAACATTTTACTTCTGAATCTGAAACATGACCAGAAATATTTAACATTTTTTTAAAAAAGCTTCCCTTTCTCTGAGATTTATTACATAAATATTTTTGTTTATCTGAATATAGGAAAAATACCAGTCCTGACATGTTTGATAATTAGAAAACTAGGCAAAATCATTCCAAATCTTACCGAAAATTGTGTTTTATGTCACAGCAGTTTGCTTTCAGAGATATGGTAATCTCTTTATATATTACTGAAGGAGAGATTGAAAGATCTTGTGTATACATAATTATGTCATGTCATAAACATGTTCCAAGAAATTGAAATAGAATGTTTCAAACAAAAAGCAGAATCAGACCTATAAATACAGAAGACAAACTGATGGTTCCCAGTGGGGAGGGGACGGACAAAATGGGCGAAGAGTGGTGGGAGATACAGGCTTCCAGTTATGGAATGAATAAGGCATGGGAATAAAAGGCACAGCACAGGGAATACAGTCAATGGTATTGTCATGGTGTTGTATGAGGACAGATGATGGCTACACTTGTGGTGAGCACAGCGTAACCTAGAGACTTGTTGAATCACTGTACACCTGAAATTAATTAACATTGTGCGTCAACTATACTCAGAAAAATGTTTTTTTAAATAGTTGGTTTTGACAACAGTGGGTACTTTTCTGAGTGCTATATTTTTATGTTTGTCCACTCAAAAAACATTTTCTTTCTGTTTTTGTGAGTAGATACATTTTTGTTGAATTTAGCCATCTTAGTAAACATCTTAATTTATTTGGTTGTGGCAATTTTCATCTTATATTAAAGAGGAGAGAACATGTTAAGAAGAGAGTTATCTATCCACTTACCTCAACTACTAAAACGTGTTAATATACATAAAATATAAAAATATAGATATATAACATATACTCCATCAAGTCTTCAGATTTTCAATTAATCTTAAAAGACTCTATTAAGTGCTGCCAATGTTGGCAGAACAGGAGCCCAAACCTCTCCACAGCTGACAGAAAGCATCACAGCCCCCTTCCAACCTGCCACGCCCTGCTGGGTGCATTCCTCTTGCTACTCTCAGCGTTTGGACCTTGCCTCAACAAGTTTCTGCTTGCTCATTATTTTCTCATGCTATCCTCTCAGCCTAGAATATCTCTCCTCCCTCTCTTCCCTACCTCCCTCAGCCCACAGCCAGCAAATTTTATTCATTCTTCAAAATGGTAGCACCTCTAAATTCCTCAAGACTTCATGCCCTCTTCAACCTCTCCACCAGGGTAATTACACTCCATTCTTTGTACTTTATTTATACCTCTATAGCCCAAGCCCTTGTTCACAGTTTTGCGTTCCCTTACATATTAGTTTTGTGAATTTGTCTCCTGCATAATATATTACCATAAACTTACCAACTTTAAACAACATCCATTCATTATCTCACATTTTTTTTGATCAGCATTCTGCATGGATTCCAGTGGGTTCTCTGCTTCGGATCCCATAAGACCAACATAAAGGTGTCCGCCAGCCTTGGCTCTCTAATCCGGAGGCTCTGGGGAAAATCCACTTCTAGACTTATCTGTTATTCTGTTGTTGGCAGAATTCAGTTCCTGGTGCTTGTAGATGGACCAGGGGTCACTCTCAGCAGCTGCAGGTCGTACTCTGGTTTTTAACACGTGGCTCCCTCTTCAAAGATAGCAACAACTCATTAAGTTGGGTGGATTAAATCCTCCTCATGGGGGAGTTAAATCTATCTGAGTCAGATTTATCTGACTTTTCCATCCACCACCAGCTGGGGAAAACTACTTTTTAAGGAGTTATGTGAGTAGATGTGGCCCATCATTAGTTCAAGATCCACTGATTAGTAACCTTAATTACATCAGGAAAAAAAATCTCTTTTGCATATAATGTAATCAGGGGCATGATATATTCAAAGGGAAGGACATCTTGGGGCGCCATTTTAGAATTCTACCTATCACAAATTAGGTTTTTCAGGACAAGGGAGCATGCCTTACTAACCTTTTAATCCTGTCACAGTGACATGCTAGTGGAGGAAGAGTATTGGGTAAGTATGTGTAGGGCATTGTGCTAAGCATATGAATTAACTCAGTAGCCCACTAAGTAAACATAGAAGACTTGCCTGGGGTCACATTGCATTGGTAGTTAGGAGTGTGGATTCTGGAATTAGACCTGGATTAACTTCTAGCTCTGTGTGACCGGTTGTGTGATTTGGGACTTTTTTTTTTTTAAACATCATCTAAGTTTGGGGTTTTAGGGTTTTTCTATCTTTAAGGTAAAAATAGTATTTACCTCACAGGATAGCCATGATTATTAAATAAGATAATGCAGGAAATAAACATAAAGCCCAGGGCCTGGTATTTAAATTCTCACCTTGTTTCTATAGTGTGATATATAACATTGTAACAAATGTATAAAGAGAGGCATGAGAAGATCTAGCTAACATATACACATGCATACATATACTCTTAAAAGAATTTTAGGGGTGCCTGGGTGGCTCAGTGGGTTAAGCTTCTGCCTTTGGCTCAGGTCGTGGTCTCAGGGTCCTGGAATCAAGCCCCGTATTGGGCTCTCTGCTCAACAGGGAGCCTGCTTCTCCCTCTCTCTCTGCCTTCTTCTCTGCCTACTTGTGATATCTCAATTTCTCTCTCTCAAATAATTAAATAAAATAAAAAAAAAATTTAACCCAGCTCCATTTTTTTTTTTTTTTTACTTAATGTGAAAATATCAGACTTTAAGAGATATCTAAAAATGTATCCAAATACTTATTGTGTATGAATCCTATGTTAGGCACCATTGCGGTTTGGAAAATTATAAAGAATACTTATTCTTGAAAAGTTCACGTGTTTGTAGGATCAACCATATTAGAGAATAGCAAGGTGAATTACTGCTTGAATTTGCATTCTGCATATCTAAAAGTAATATATCTGTACACAGACATTTGAAGAAATCCTTATCTACCACCAGTGTACCTGAAAAATTAGTTGAAAAGATAATACATAAATAAGAGGCGATATAAAAGATTATTCAGTATATCACAAACATCTAATTTTAAGAGGTATGAGAACTTTTGCAAAACAATTTTTCAG